ACGTGGGGAGAAGGTTGCTACCACATGTGGTTGTCGCGAGGATTAAATTTGGAGGCAATGCAGTTAAGTCAGCACAGTGCCTGACACACGGCAAACTTGAATAAACATCCATTAATATTGATTTGCTCATCACCACAAGGAAACAGCCTCCGCAACATAGAGACGCAAAATGCGTTGCGGCCATCGCGTCTCCCTTTAGCTGGTGGGCCTCTGTTGATGCCTTCCTCCTGCAGGCTCGGATTCATTGGGCCCCTCTCGAGGGCCGTGCCAAGGCTTCAGAAAGGACAGGCCCGGTTTGTTGGGAGACCGCACTGGTTCTGCTCACTGTGTGGCCTGGGAATGGCCCCTCTCTCTCAGGCCCTCAGTCTCCTCATGTGCATAATGAGAGTATTAACCTGGGCAATCTCTGGGAGGCCCCAAGGAGCTCTCTGTGTGTCGCGTGACTCTAGCCTGCTGGGGTCCCGTAGGGACTTCTGGCCCCCGACCTAGAGGGGCTGAGGGAAGGCGCAGTGGCGGGAACTCAGGTAAAGGCCGGGACTCCTGGTCCTGCCCCTGTGTGGGCAAATCCTTTCCCTCTCTGAGGCTCTTTCCTCCATCCCAAAAGCGGCTGGGCAGGATGAAAGCCCTTGCAGTCTGCTTTTCCACAGTTCAACAGCCAGCCCCGCTTTGGAACATGTCGGGGTCGTCTTCACCTGGCCTTAATGCCCACCCAAGAATACGAGCCCTACACCAACAGGAACCTTCTCTGTCTGGTTCAACACAGCACTCCAGGGCCTAACATAGGACTGGGTGCATAGCAGGTGCTCGATGTACTGTGGAAGGAAGAGAGGGAAAGAGAGAAGGAAAGGAAGGAGGGAGGCAAGGATGGAACAAAGGAAGGAAAAAAGGAAACATTACCTACATCTATGAATTTAGCCAAGATCACCTAAAATGCCTTTTCTTTTCTCACCATTGCTGTTGCTAAGCGATGTCTTTTTGTATTTATCTACTCAACCAATATTTATTGCCAGCTGGCTCTGCCCCAGGCATGGAGCTGAGCCCAGGGGATATGGAGGCCATCTCCTCTGGGTCTTACATTCTCCAAGGAAGAGACAGTTAACATTTTACCCCAACAAGAAACTAGGCTTACGGTCAGTGCAGTGAAGGAGAACAGGGGCGCTAAGTGACACTGGAAAGGGTCGCAGGCTGAGGGCCAGGGAGGAGTTAGGGAAGGCTTCTCTGAGGAAGAGACACGGGGCCCAAGTGGTCAGTCAGGGGAGGGGGAGGGAGGCTGGCTCCCTGGAGTGGACCGTGGCAGCCCCCGGGGCCTGGCCTGCTTTCCCAGGAACCCTTGCTCCCTAGCTGCCCAGTAAGACACCCTCTTCCAACCAAGCCAGGACCTCTCTCCTGTCTCTACAGCCTGGGATAACAGATCCTTGCTCTCGGAGCTGTCCCTGCCTTGCCGTGGGCTCCACTGCCTGACCTCTGCACGGGGCAGTCCCTCCCCACCTCTCTTTGACACATGCTGGGGACAGGCCCTGAACACATTCCCCTACCTCTGCCCTGCTGCAGCTTACAGACCACCTCCCTCCCCTCCTGCCTTACCCCTGCGTCTCCCCTCTGACTCCCCTTCCCCTGTGGCTGGGGTACAACCCCTGAGGGTTTCCCCCCTGAGTCAGGGCCTGGCTGACCCCCAGGTGGTGTTGGAGGATGTCCCAGGAGGCCACCGTCTAGGCAGGCTCCATTTAACAACAACAACAATGAAGACAACAGTCATAGTAGCAACAATAACAACAAACACAACAATAATAGTAACAACAACAATAAAGTGCATCCCTCCGGCACTTGTCTTAGTAGGTGGTTGAGCAGGGCCTTTGAGACAGGGCAGTGACACAAAGCCCTCTGTGTCTTTCAGAAGAGCAGGGCCTGTCCGCTCCCCACCCCCAGGTCAGGGCAGGGCTTGCTGGGGCCAGCGGGACAGAGGGGGGTGCGGGGGGGGGGGCAGCTAAGGGCCTGCTCCTTTTCCAGGGAATCCACTGTGCTCCCCTCCTGAGGGAGTTGGGGGTAGGGTTAGGAAGTAATCAGAATCATGGATCTTTTCAAATATGGGCAAAACCTTGGAGATGAGAGTTAGATAGCTATCTTGCCCTCTAGACATTTCCATAAACAATAGTGCTTACCATCCAGCGTCAGGCACTGCTCTAAACAATGACACGTGCATTGATGGCTTGATCCTCACAAAAACTGTTATCCCCATTTTACAGATGAGGAAACTGAGGCGGGGAGAGTTACATCCCCACAGCTACTAAGGGGATGCCCTGCCATGGAAGCCAGGAGGCTCCGAAGTCAAGCTCTTAAGCTCAGCTGATGAAACGTTTCACAGTCGCTAACACAGCCCTGCACACAGAATCACCCAGGCTCACCCCCGACCCCAACTTGGAACACACAAGGGCCAAGGGGCCTGTCATCACAGCCCACATACACCCCCAGCCCTTGTCCTCCAGACCAGGGGCCATTTTCACGGTGATAGGTCTGGATGCCTTTTAGAAGAAAAATACAATTTTCTTTTCCACTCAACAAGCCCGTGTTTCTCTCCCCTACCTCCAGCCCCAGTGTTTATTTCAGCAAGGAAATGGCCTTTGAAGTCCTCACTTCTTGAAAGCTGAGAGGGAAGGGAGGCACTACAAACATTTCAAAGCATGTCCACATTTTGGTTGGAACGTGGAATTTTTTTAAGGATTAATAACAGTTTTTGGAATCCACTGACCCTGCTGCTTTTTCAAGGTGAAAAAAATAACCCCTTGAATATCATAGCTGTCAGGGTCTGGCAGGGAGTGGGGGGAACCCCGCGAGGGCAGGGAGCAATGCCAAGGGTCTCCTTAAGCAGAACCAGGCAGAGTCTGATGAGGAACAGTCCGAAGTGTGGTCCAAGGGGGAGATTTCACTGTAGCAAAGGGAGAGTAAGAACAATCTAGTTGTTACCAAAGCTCCATTCACTCAGTTTAAAGAATTGTCTTTTGCTCAGGGGTTGTGATTTGTTTGATGTCAAAAAGTACTCCCTGGGGCGCCCTGGGTGGCTCAGTCAGTTAAGCATCCAACCCTTGATCTCAGCTCAGTTCGTGATCTCACAGTTTGTGAGATCAAGCCCCGCATCGGGCTCCATGCTGACAGCACAGATCCTACTTGGGAATCTCTCGCTCTCGCTCTCTCTCTGTCCCTCCCCTGCTTATGCTCTCTCTCTTTCTCAAAATAAATAAACAAACTTAAAAAAAATGTGGGGGCACCTGGGTGACTCAGTCAGTTAAGCGTCTGACTTCAGCTCAGGTCATGATGTCACCTCTCGTGAGTTGGAGTCCCATATTGAGCTTTGTGCTGACAGCTCGGAGTCTGGAGCCTGCTTCAGATTCTGTGTCTCCCAGTCTTTCTTTCCCTCTCCTGCTCGTGCTATGTCTCTCTCTCTCTATGTCTCTCTCTCTCAAAAATAAATGAACATTTAAAAAAATATACTCCCTTTAAGGAAATCATCACTATATTAAACAATAGCCTTCTAAGAGTGTCTTTAGCAAAAGAAATAGTTGCCAACCCTACTTTTGGTCTCCCAGTTTTTAATTTTTAAATCTTTTTGGAATGCGTCTGGTCTATGAAATACCAGGGCTGAGAGTACAGTTGGGGAGAAACAAATCGCTGAACCTAAGCTCTCGTAATCCAAAATAGAAACTGGGGCCTTGTAAGACTCCACCAAAGTGCTGTAAGGTTCAGGGAAGGTCTCTCCAGATGCAGATCCCGGAAAAGGCCTCTTGGAGGAAGGGGCACTAGCTTAGACCAGGAAGAGCAGGGACCACTGGCCACCCAGGGCCAAGGCCGAGCTCCCGGGAGAGGGAAGGAAATGAGCGAAACCACAGAGGAAGAAGCTTGCCCACAGCTCCCTCAAGCTGATCTCATGCACTTCTCATGACAACCCTGCAAGGAACATACTCCAGTTATCGCCGTCTGACACCCTAGGAAACAAAGTCATGGGCAGGGCCACACAGCGAGTGGAGGCAGAGCTGGGTGCTCACCCAGGCCACCCTGACACGACCAGCTAGAGTTTGCAAGCCCAGTGCACAGTGAACATGTTGGGCCCTGAGTTCAAACATTATTAAGAATTTCAATGGGGCGCCTGGGTGGCTCAGTCAGTTAAGGGTCCGATTTCGGCTCAGGCCATGATCTCGCGGTCCGTGGGTTCGAGCCCCGCGTCGGGCTCTGTGCTGACAGCTCAGAGCCTGGAGCCTGCTTCCGATTCTGTGTCTCCCTCTCTCTGACCCTCCCCCATTCATTCTCTGTCTCAAAAATAAATAAATAAATAAATAAATAAATAAATAAATAAGAATTTCAATGGGGCATCTTGGTGGCTCAGTCAGTTAAGGGTCCGATTTCGGCTCAGGTCATGATCTCACGGTTTGTGGGTTTGAGCCTCGCAGCGGGCTCTCTGCTGACAGCTCAGGGCCTGGACCCTGCTTCAGACTCTATCTCCCTCTCTCTCTTTCCCTCCCCCGCTCACACTTTGTCATTCTCCTTCTCAAAAATAAACATTAAAAAAAAAATGTCAAAATGGTGACAGCAGAACATTCAGCCAAGCCTAGGGCCCTCCTAAGTGCACGGTCCAGTGTGACTGCATGGGTCACACACCCAGGACATGAGCCCTGCCACCTGTCCCAGAAGTCCAGCTCTTTATACGCTGCTGGCTGATGGAAGTGTTACGTGAAACAGAACCAAAATCTGCAATATACCACATTGTTCCTTGATGGCTATGTTTGGGGGGTTTCGGACCACAGGTGAATTTTCTCTACGTTTCTGTATAACTTACTTTTTGATACAAATACGAATTTCTTTAAAAGAGAAATGAAGACGGTGCCTTGACTCTTCATTTTGGTGGTTCTTCCTGCAGAACAGGAAGAATTACGGAGTTTCCTGGCCACTCTCTGCGCTTCCCTTTCAGCACCACTCCGCTCCTCATTGTCTGTCATTCCCTCTGACTGCAGACCCCTAGCCACCCCCTGTCAGGGCCCCAGCCTGGCCCCGGCCTGTGGATGACTGTCAGGACTGGAGTGTGCTGTGATAAACCAGAGCACGTGCACCAATGGAGAGACCACTGCCTGGGAGAGAAGGTAGGTCAACTTCCTGCTCTGCCACGAATGTACTGTGTGACCTTAGGCAAGCCCCTTTCCCTCTCTGGGCCTGATGTCACAGTAAAGCCCTTTCATACAGAGCGGCCTGCAGCTCAATCACTGCAATGGTCAAGGAGGCAAGGCCACCCCACCCTTTCTTGAATGCCCTCTGTCTCCAGAGAGCATAGCGGGAGTGAAGCAGGACAGCCTGGGGAAGAGGCAGTGTGGTATACTGGGCAGCACGCTGGGCACGCCATCGGGAATTCTAAGTTGGAGATTCTCGCGGTGGGTACTATCTGGCCCTCTTGGGACCTCTGTCCTCTCTGTTCCAAACTCTCCATGGCTTCCAACTGTACCCAGAATAAACCCCAAACTCCTTACCATGGCCCTACGTGACCCATCTTGCCAGCCTCATCTGCTTGCATCTCTGCCCCTTGTTCAGAGGCCAGGCTAGCCACCCCCACCCCCCATGCTAGCCTCCTGCCTTCCCTCCAAGCTCATTCGCCCTCAGGACCTTTGCACTGGCTGTTCCCTCTGCCTCGAACTCTCTTCCCCAGACCTTCCCGTAGCCGTCTCCTTCTTGCATTTGGAGCCCCAGCAGCAATGTCACTCCTCAGAGAGGTTTCCCCAACCCTGAGAACCATCCAGCGAGCCCACGTCTGCGTCTTCACAGTCCTCCCAATCATCTGAACGTTTCTTGTTTGTGTGCTTTATTGTCTGTGTGTCTCCCCTTTCCCTGTCTGTGATAATCAGCAATCAGGCCAGCTGGGACCTTCTGTCTGGTTCCCTACAGTGGCCTCAATGCTTCCATTTGATGAAAGAGTGGAGGACTGACTAGCAGGGACTTCAATTTGCCTATCAATGCAGTGGGAGGGTGGGTGTTGCTCAGCTCTGGTCACAGATGCCTTTTCAAATATAACACAATTTAGGGATCCTTTCCCTGAGAAAGCACCTACACACAACATTTTGCATCAGGTTTGGAGAGGGTGTCCCCAGCCCCTTTGAGGCCTACCCCAGAGACTCCCCGATCTTGCTCTGAGGTTTTCTGATTTGGGAACAGAAAACAATGAAGATCAAATGGCTGTTCCTTTGGTCGCAAAATGTGCTCAGAATTCGGCACTCCCCTTTCATGCACTTTGCATTTCCTCATTTGGAGGCAAGGGTGCCCCTTGGTGCGCCCCCTCACTGCTGTCCCTAACGCAGCAGACCCCTCATAGTCTGGGCTCATTATTCTTACTCCTTGCTTGGCCACCCTGGTTCCTTCTGGCCCTCTCCCCTCCTCTTCCTGCCTCTGGGATCTTAAGACAGCAAACTCAGGCCCCCTGGAGAAATGGTCTCCCTTAACACCAACATAGTCCCCGTCTACAGAACCTTTCAGCTTCATAAACTCGTAACTGCAGAAATCTGTCCAAACATTCCGGGGCAGTTGTAACTATTGGTGTTGGCTTGCGGACCTGAGCCCAGCCGCCAGGGCTTTAATGAGGAAATACTTAAGAGTCCCAGCCCAAGGTAACGGCCAGGGAGGGCGGGGAGCCCACTGACGGGCACCAAGGAGCCATGAGCTGGCCTCCACCGCAGAGTGGATAAGACGGGCTATGGAGCATTTTTCTCAGAAAAAGTGAAATTGACTTAATCCTTTCGCGCTTTGCGGGTGTGGGCGGAAGAGGCTGAAGATGGGTCAGGACAGCTGTCAAAAGCAAGAGCTTGGCCAGGGCTGAACTTTTGAGTTCACCGCTCTCAAGCCCTGTAGCCAGACAGATGAAAAAGGCGCTTTCTCCCTCCCAGGCTCGGCGCGCTGGCTTTTCCATGATTAACGCGGAGAGAATGGCTTCGACGCTTCGCAGGGCCGGCCGGGCCACGCGAGGAGAAATGGCCCTTTTCCCCTCCTCCTCAGGCGCCTGTCTGGAGGACAGTGGGCCAGGAAGGGTCAGCCGTGCTGGTGGGGTCAGTGGCAAGGTTGCCTGAAATTTGCACAGGAATCCACATCGCTGAACTCCCAGGCCCCTGGCTCCCTCAGGAAGCTGCTGCCACCCCAGCCGGGCAACTACAGAGAAGCAACCGCCCCCCGTGGTATTTCCCCTCCCACAAGCCACATGAAACAGCTCTTGGGGGAGACGGAGAGAGAGCACACTTCAGAAGTGGGTGTGAAAATTTGAGCCTTGTGGATGAGGTGCCCTCCACGAGAAGGGGGCAGCTCTGTGGCCTTGGAGGCTAGTCCGGAGGAGTTCCCTCAGGTCTGGTCTTTGGGAGAAAGGGCACATTGGCTATGTGGTGGGGGCAAACCGCTGCCCCGCCGCACCCCTGCCAGAGGTCCCCTCTCCCTACAGAGTACGGACAGGGCCACACTCTGCACCCATGGCTAGTGGACAATTCTAAAAGTCGGGTACCTGGAGGTACCGAGTCAGAGTAGCGTACCTGACTACCCCACATGGCCCAGCCTGTCACCATACCCTAGGGCTTCCATTTTTCAGGGCGGTTGGCCCTGGGCCAAGGGAATCCTATAAATTCCAGGTACATGCAGAAATAAAGGTCATGCTCCTAGGAGCCAAGGGATAGGGTCTTTCCCAAGAGAGTGATGGATTTCTTCTCCCTTCATTACATCAACAGCCCATAAGACCTTGCCTTACCTAGTGTCCTGTACCCCACTGACATTCTCCAAGACACCCCCGGGATGGAGCCTTATTCTCCTGACAGATAAGACCCTGGGAACTATGCTTGAAGCCCCGGGGGGTTAGGAAAAGCACTGGTTAATTTCCTGACTGCTAGATGAAAGAAGAAACTGAGGCTCCAGAAAAAAAGCTGAACTCGAATCACAAAGTGGATTTTCCCTTGGAGGTCGAGGGAATCAGCAACAGGCTGATGTTGCAGGTGGGACCCGTCCAGCTCAGAGAAGGGAGAAGACTAAATGTGCCTCCCGACTCCCCCAGTCCCAACACACATGCCACAACACTGCATGATTCCCCCTGCCCAGGCCCCCTGAGCACGGCCTCTCCTTCTCTTCCTCTGCTCCCATCTCTGGAGAGGGCCCAGCAGGCCCAGCCTCTGCAGAGGCTCCCCCAGCTCCCCGCAGAGGCTGGGCCTGAGTCAGAGTCTCAAGGACCTCATCAGAGCTGGGGGGGTGGAGGCGCTCGCAGGCAAGAAGGCAACAGACGCAGGGACGGGAGTCGTGAAAGCTGATTTCAGTCCTAGTTCTCCGCGAGAAAGCCGTGTGACTTTGAGGGGGCGCTTTTTCAAATATCCCTGATACTTGAAGAACCCATTATGCTTGACAAGGCTCTCTCACATATGTTATTTCATTCTACCCTTAATCTCTCGGGGCCTCAGCGTCCTCGCGTCAAAATGAGGGGATCGAACCTTCAAGGCACGCTTGGTATCCACATGCTGGTAGTTTGTGAGAGACCATGTTTTATGGTATTAGGGATATTTTATTGTTCGTTTTAGGACATTATGGTGCTGAGATGCTGCATTCTGGGGTTCTAGAATCTTTGGCTTCTGCAATTCAATGGCCTTTGGTTCTGAGAATATGTGACTTTTTTGTTCCATGGTTGCAAATGTCAATGTTTCCCAAATTTCTGTCGTACGAGAACCACCTTTACCGCCCCGGCTATGTCTGCACACACCACCTGTATTATTGTTCATTTAGTATTTTTCTTTAAATAGACTCTTTTTCACTTAAATAAATGTCTTTAAAATGGAAACTTTATATCACTACTGCAAATGGAAAACCAGTCTCACCTGCCATAAATAGGACCTAAAAGTAAAAATAAATACAATAAAAACAATGTTATTAAATTCTAACTAGATACTGTTGCCCTGCCAAAGGCTCAGAGCCCAGGGCCTGCTCTTAAAAAAAAAATTTTTTTTTAGCACACATGCACACACACACACACACACACACACACACACACACACACACTGGCAAGGCTTGGAGAGGTAGTAAAGACATGTTAGCATCAAATTAAAACAGTATAATGAGAAGAACTGAAAATATCACTGAACTTTTCATTTCCTTCTCCGTAAGTGATTCTGTGTTCACTGTTGTCCCTGGACACCACCCACATTCATCGTCAAGTGTATCCCTTCACCCTGCACGTCACCTCGCTCTACCCCACGTGGGATAAAGGAACCTGGGATTCTTGCCTCCCAGGCCACACACACATTGTCCAGGGGGCAATTGTCCACACTTCGTCCAGTCGGTTTCTTCTCTTCTGAGCTTTCAGCCAAGGCTTCTTTGCATTATTGCAAAACTAGGCCCTCAGACTCCCTCTGCTCATCTCCCTCTGGCTACAAAGAAGCTAGAGAAAGCCTGGAAGGCTACCACCTACCAGAGTCACCTATGCCGGGACTCGGCATAGGTCTAGTGACAGCTGGGCCTGAGGGCGACACCTTCGCTTGTAGGACAGAGAGAGCACACACTGCCCAGGCCATGCCACACCCCCAGAGTTAGGGAGGGTGGGGGCTGTGGGAAGATTCTGATGTTTCCCAGCACACACCCCCGTGGGTTCAAGGCTATGCTCACCTTCTGGCATGGAGAAGAGCTGGCCACAGAGCTAGGGTGGCCTCAGGATGGGCACTGACCTGTGGGCAGGAAGACCCAAGCCCTGGTGCCCCCCTCCCCCCACCTCGCCACTGCTGGCCCAATGTGGGACCTTGAACAAATCCCTTTTCCTCTGTGGAGCCACGTCCTCACTGTAAAATTGGGATGGATACACTGGCTCTGACTGTCACAACCGATCACTTATTGGACCACATTCTATCTTAAGCATCTGTTCACGCTCAAGTCAACGGCTGCTGCTATTATCGTTAGAACAACAATAATCATTATTTGAAGCTCACGGTTGTTCAAGGAAGGGTAGGGTGGCAGTAATTTTCTCACTGAGAGGGTCAATACATATAAACGTTTTGGTACACAGTGGTACTTCATAAATTTGATGACAGTCCTATCTCCCTCCTTCTAGGCTCTCTGGTGCCTAAGGGCAACATCACTCACTAGACTGAATTCAGTTTCTGGAGCTGGCCACATGACAACTCTCCGTGATAGTGACTGGGCCCTACATCCAAGGCAGCCTCTGTCTGACTCTAGCGCAATTTATGAAAAGCCAAAAGTATCTTCCTCTCTGCTCCCTTCATCCTGTGCGCATTCTCACCTCTCGGCCTTTGCCCTCGCTCTTGCCTTCACTGGGATGCCCTCTTCTCTCTGCCTTGTTTGATCCAGCCCCCGGGACCAACCTCTGAGACCCAGCTGATGGCCCTGGCTGGACCCCTGGTTCTCTTATTACTCTGGGTAAGTCCCATGGCTGCTCTGGGCCTCCGTTTTGCAATAAAGCATTGAACTGAGGGTCCTCTAAGTTCCTTCCGGTCCTGACATTGCAAATGGCAGATACTGTAGTGTCCACCACAAGAAGGACATGATCCTGACTACGTGGACTCCCTTGGCTCATTGAAGACCTGTCAGACTTGCAGTCAGGAGAGTGGGGACAGTTGGCTGTATGGCCCATGAAGGTTTGTAGCCATCACCACAGAGACTGAGGCAACCGGAGGAGAGGGTTGGGCCTGTGTTTACTGACCCTCCCATCCTCAGCCCAGCACGGTGTTCAACACCAAAGCTGCTCAATAAGTAATCAGCAAATGAATGCATGCATGTTTGAAAAGTAGTATGGCAAGTATTATTAGTAGAAGCTGAGGCTGGAGTCCAATGCAGTCAAGTTAGGGCTCCTTAACCTTAAGCTCCAAAGAGAGAAGCCCCCTCCCCCCACCTTTGTCTTTCCCTCCAGGCTCAAAGAGCTGCATCAGTGCGTTCCAGGAGTGTGTGTGTGTGTGTGTGTGTGTGTGTGTGTGAGAGAGAGAGAGAGAGAGAGAGGAGAGAGAGAGGAAAAAATAAGATTTTATTAACTTATTTTAACTAAAGAAAACTTTAAATCCACAGGCATCCTTTCCCCCACCCAATATTCATTCATTTATTTCAAAAACATTTCTTGAGAACATCTGTGCTGTTGAGGCTACAGAGAGGGTTGGGAGGACAGGCATGGAATCTGGAGAGCCAGAACATTTGGTTCCTCGCCCCAGCTCAGACAGACTCTGTTTGTATGCCTTTAGGCAAGTCACTTTCTTCTTAGTAGCCTAGTATCCTCATCTGTAGAGTAGGGGAACTGGTCTTGATAACATCTAAGGCTCTTTTCCTTTCTTATTATCTGTGAGCAAGCTGCACGTTGCTCTGCAGAGGAGGGGCAGAGATTTTCTCAAAGATCTGGGAAGTTGTCCATGCATCAGGCATCATCTGTAAACTAAATACGTGCAATCATAAGTCCTTTTATGTGTGTTGGAGTGAGATGGTGAATTCCTTCACAAAAGTGTCTCAAACTCTGAAAGGTAGAACCTCCAACGGAAATGGCACTGGCTCCAGTCCTGACTCACAGGGAGCTTACAGTTTTGCAAATAAAATAGAATCCAAGTAACTGGAACTACAAGGCAAGAAACAGATGTGGGTCCTGAAAGTTCAGAGGCATCAAGACCAGTGATTTTTTTAGAGGTCACACCCCACTGAGGATCCGAGAAAACTACCAACTCTCCCCAGTAAAGATACCCTCATGTGCTAAATTTCATGGCAATTACTTGGTGATCACAGATCTCTGGCTCATCTCACAAACCTCAGGTCAAGAACCCTTGATTTAGATAAAGCCATAAACAGAAGTCCAGCAAGTCTGGAGCAAATGCCTAGCTTGAATTCTTGAACAAAAGCATCGCATGAATTATTAGGAGAGGCTAGGGATATATAGGTCCATAGCCTAGGGACCTAGGGGCAAGGGTGCTGATCAGGGAGAAAAGAGGGGAGGGGGAAGCTTAGGTAAAATAAACTGTGAGCCATCCTGTCTGTTCCTTCTGCTAGACAAAGCAATTCTTTAAGCTGTTTTAAAAGACCAAACTCATAAGCTTCAAAACGTAAACAAGCAGAGCTTCTTAAATCATTGGGGAATTGTTTATGAATGCAATTACTGGACTACATTGTCTGTTCATGATAAACAGAGACTGGCTGAGAATCCACAACCTCTGTGATTGGGTGGAGAAGGGCAGAGAATCAGGAAGGGTCCCTGTTGGGACGAGACCCCATCTAAAACGATCCTGTTCACAAGCAAGACCACGAGCTAGAAAACTGCCTCCGTTCCCAGAAACATGTTCCTTGGGGTGCTAGAAACCTGATGGGCGAGCAAGCTTTGAAAGGTGAAATATGCTTCTGATCCTTAAGTGGTACTAATTTTGAAAGACACAGCCACAGCCACCAGCACTAACAATTACACCCAGCAGTCTCATGGCAAAGGACAAAGGACCTAATGGCCAAGTGCAGTTTGATTGAGGCTGCCTGGCAGCCAAGGGCTTAGACCCCTGAGTGAGGTTGGGGGTGGACCAGCTGGGGAGGAGGGAGGAAGTACAGATCACTGAAAACAGACCGCTCACACTTTGATGTATATCTGCATCGCCTAGGCGTCTTGTTACAATGCAAATTCTGTTTCAATAGGTCTGGGGTACACGGGGAGATCTGCATTTCCAGCAAGTTCCCAGATCATGCTGATGACACTGG